CTCTCTCTCTCTCTCTCTCTCTCTCTCTCTCTCTCTCTCTCTCTCTCTCTCTCTCTCTCTCTCTCTCTCTCTCTCTTTTTCTTTTTTTTTGGGGGGGGGCCAAAACATTTGTGGCAGCCTGCTATTGGAGGTGATAAGAGCATCCTCCAATAGCAAGACCCAGTGTATATATGGCTCCAATGTATTGGTGGGGAGCATCATCTGCTGGAAACCGGGTCCAGTGTCTCACTGACAAGATCAGAGAAGGTATACCTGGCAGATCAGCATTGATTGTCCTCTCACCAGGGGATTGGTTGTCCGCCTAATTAACAGCCAGGTCCCATCATGTAGAGGGTGACAGACTGTCTTCCAATCTACCCTAATCTTACACAGTCATAGTTGTGCACCACAAACCCTAGGCCCCCTCCCTGCATAAGGCTGCTGCCCATCTCGGTGATTTACATTCTTCACAAGGTCGGCTGCCTACCCTCCCTTACCCTAAGTTGTTCACCCGACGAAGAACATTCACATATGATTGTTATTGTCAAATTTCTGGCAGAGGTTGGCAAAATTCGCCACATATATCATTACTATTGTCAATCATCTACCATAGATTATCAGATCAACTAGCATGATCTTCCCCCTGCCATTTCACCAAGCAGAGATATGACGATCCCCTATTGACTGTCCCATCTCCTTCCCTCCCCTATCCACCACCCAATCAACTAGCCTTCCTCTCGCCCATCTCCATCTTGCCGCCCACCCAGTGCCATACCACAGAATATGACAGGCGAGGCAGGCAACAGGGAGTGAAAACAGGGGGAAACTACAAATCAAGGAGAGGCCCAGGCAGGTAATGTTTACGCAAGAGTGAATCAATCAAAACACGTGTTTCGGTGTCTATTCGAAGCTCAACCAATCATGAAGAACTCACAAAAAAAATCCGGAGATTACTCTTCGCTCAAAAACGTCCCTCCGTCCATTGCCTCCGTCGGAGGGTGCCCCCTCACCACACCGGCCCCAGTTCAGAACAGCCCCCTAAACGGCCATTCCCGCTCCCTTAGAAGCACACAGTTCCCTCTAGAGTATGCCCCCACAGAGTTGGAATTCCACCTTTCCTCCTGTCCCACCCCCTCCCAGTGAAACAACCCTCTCTACCTCCCATCTTGCTGAATTGAGCACCCCTTGTCCACTCTTCCCAACCGCCATATTGATCCAACCCAAAGCTCAGCACGGCTCAAAAAAGGACAATCCCACAATACCGCCCCTATCCTCTCAAGGGCAACACCTACCACCTTGTGTAGCCCTCACAGGGAGGAGCTCCAATCCTGAGGAAATAACCCCGATCAATACTTGTGAGCCCAAGCCCCACAAAGCTCGTGTTAAGCCTCAAGATTTCCATACGCCCAAAAACAGACTAAACTAGAGAGTCCAAAGGTGTCGACACATCACAAGTTAAGACCCCTTTGCTGAGACTAATTACCCAGAAAAACTAAATAGCATCGAATCAGAAAATCCAACAATACAAATAGGATGGAAGTAGAGAAATCACTAAGACTTATTACAAGTAAAAACTAATTAGCATCAAAAACAGGAAATCCATCGAGTTACAGAAAGGATTGGGAAAAGGAAAATCGTTCTGACCGAATATACGATTGGATGACTTTGAAAATCCAAAGGAAACACAATAGAAAAATAATTCTGATGTCCAACCGGACTTTCGACTCTGATTTCCAGAACCCTAGGTTCAGAAAATCACTCAGACCTTAAATCAGAAAAATGCTAATCAGAAAAAATTATCGTTTGAACCTCTAGGATTACAACATAGAAAAGATAAACTGCTAGCGCAAATATTGAATCGCCATCATTGGTTGAACGTCAAGGATAACGACATAAAACGATCAAACAGGTAATGCAAAATCGAACAAACCATCGTAGAACAATCAAATCATAAATTCAGAATTAATCAACCCAAATACGTAATGATTAATCAGAATTGTTTGTTATACTAAACTTCAAGGATAGAGGGGCTAACATATATTATTCAAACAAAACTAGCTGAGAATCACGTCATTAAGAATCTCATCAAGGTCATCATAGAATCACCATAACAGAACATGAAGAGGAAAAACACAAACCCTCGACATCCCTAAAAGCACTCCCCCTCACTCCAAACCTCACCTCCTCAGCCAGGATTACTCCAAACCACGTCGCGAGACTAAACCGTTGAGCCTGTCAGCCGCCCCTCGCAGGTAGCCCAAAGAGATGAAGGGGTGACATCGTTGCTGACGTCGCCCACCTGTATGAAAGCTATTGAGTCTCCATACCAACCTCCCTTTATGCCCCCCCAGCGTTCCTCCTCTCCAATCGAGACCTTGGTGTGAGATATGCTGCCGCAAGCGCATAGCGGCAACAACAAACAGAAAAGCCAGTTGTGTTGGTACTGATTGATTGTTTGTTAGTTATTGAATGCAGATGTAAGATAGAATTCTTGGTTGAGAAACTCAGAAGCTAAACCGGCTGATGCTGCCGGGATAAGGGGCTGATCCCACCTCTTTTCTTTTTGGGAAGAAAGCTAAAAAAAACGATTTTCCAGGGTCCGCCCCGCTCGCTCAGTGTTATAAAATTTGGATCCCAGATGCCCTACTTCTGCGGGACTTTTCCTAACGGAGCGGCACTATCTTGTGGCGCCTCGAGGATCCAACGGCCTGCACATCAGGGGGAAAAAATGATGAAAAAAACAATGGCTCCTTCTTTCATGGTGCAGAGTACGGGGGTGGCTTCTTTGTTTTTCGAAAGAACTACGGGTCCTCAAATCACGCCGACACTGCCACGTACTAGGCTGTTTCCACCTCTTCGAAAAAACAGGGCCACCTCCGGCTCTCGCCGAAAGAGGTGGGATCCCAAAATCTACTGAAAAGTGGCTCGCTTATAAGAAGTGGAATCAGGCCCTAACTCCAGGTTGAATTGTGAGGTCCTCGCCCTCGTGATAAATGTGTTCTTCAAGGGGTTCCATCATCTGGATTCGAACACGGGTCTATATTTTCAACAGTTCATGGGTGTACCCACTGAGCTAGGCTCTTGGGTAAATGTGTTCTTTGGAATATAACTGAATGTATCAAAAAAAAAAAAAGGGTAGATTTGTCTGGCGCCCCTGTAATTTGCGTTATTTCGCGTCACGCCCCTCCGACGACCCATTTACCCTGTCACGCCTATCTAAGCAGGGTTCAAATTTTCCATAAGACCCCGGTGTCATTTCGGCCTCAAATCTTTTTGTTACGGCCCTACCAGTTCCGGTCCCTAATTTGCGGGATGCCCCTACCGGATGGCCGTTAAAAGCCAGCGGGAAATTTTTCGAGATGCCCCTAACGGTACCATTTGCTGCCAAGCCATTTGCTGCTATGTCATCGGCTGCCACGTCATCCTCTACTACATCATCTTATGCCACGTCATCTGCTGCCAGTCCATTTGCTACCAAGCCATTTGCTACTCCGTCATTTGCTGGTACGTCATCTGCTGCCACTTCATCTTATGCCACATCATCTGCTGCCAATCCATTTGCTATCAAGCGATTTGCTACCAAGCCATTTGCTGCTACGTCATCATCTGCTGCCTCATCAGCTGCTGCCACGGCATCTGCTGCCAAGAGAGCATCTGCTGCCAAATCGTCCACAACTGCCACATCTTCTACTGCTTTCCCAGATGCAGGGGCGGCTCCCTCTTCCGACAAACAAAAGGATGTTAGTGGTGACACATCTTCTACTGCTTCCCCTGATGCAGGGGCGGCTCCCTCTTCCGACAAACAAGAGGATGTTAGTGGTGGACAGTCTGAGTCAACGGCGAGGGCAACAGCGACCTCGATGAATGCAAAGGCGGGAAAGAACAAGTCTGGGACGGAAATCAGGGGACGGGCATTGGTTCTTGCAAGTTCGTATCTCACATCCGAAGGTTACGATCTATGGAAGAAGATGATGAAGGAGGAGAGGGGTGTTGTGATGGCGCTGCGCGCCTATGGCTGGTTGGTCGACTGTACAACTTTCCAGCTCTCTCTCTCTCTCTCTCACACACACACACACACACTTGCAGGGAAGAGGACGATATGGCACAGGGCCCAATGGAAATGCAAATTTGTGGTGCCTCACGGCTGCGGGGGCATTGCAGAAAGATGGCTGTCCGTCATGAGGGCATATGGCACGGGGCCTGACCATCAGTCCAAGGAGGGCGTCCTGGAAAGTTGCGGTCACTACCGACAAGGGCCTGCCAAAACTATTTTTTGGCCCAGGGGCGCGAGAGGGTAAATCGGCCATCGGAGGGGCGCGACAAGGGCCTGGCAAAAATATTTTTTGGCCCAGGGGCGCAAAAGGGTAAATCGGCCGTCGGAGGGGCGCAACACGAAATAACACAAATTACAGGGGCGCCAGACAAATTTTCCCAAAAAAAAAAAAAAAGTCCTTCGGGACATCCATTAAAATTGGAACGATACAGAGAAGATTTCATAAAACTACGCTATATTCTTCTCTCAAATCTTTTCATCATCTTTCAAATTCTTTCAATTCACCTTCACTGGCCCCTGCGCAAGGATGACACACATAAATCCAGAAATGGTCCAAATGTTTATACCTTTCTCGGCCTTTTGGCTAAGATCGGCCTAGCTCAATTGGTTAGGCACGCAAGTGGCATTCAGGAGGTTGTGGGTTCAATCCCCATGGCCGCCTGTAGCACTCGTGGTGCCAACCAACTGAGATAGTCAGCTGGATCCTCCCAGTCGGAATCAGTAAGGTCTTCAGCCAACAGGGGTGTGAGTGCGTGTGTGAGTGGGTTGAGTGTGGTGTGTTGGAGAGTGTTGGCTTTAGACACTACTGTTACTCGATGGGGGTGGGGGAAGATGAATAGGGAAATAGGGAGGCACAGTTACCGGCAAAATGCTCTGTCCTTGTGTTAGCCGCCCCCCACCGGCGGCCCCAACCC